AGTGCCACCAGCTGACATTTTGCATTCTTCCATTGCTTTCCATTTTTCATCTACATAAAAAAAATGGTGATAACTATTTATCAACTATTGATCAACTAAAATATCCAGTTGATCTTTTCATCCTGGTAATAAAATGATAATACACAGATCTTATTATCTACTCCAGACATCCGTCATCGGACATTTTCCAATAACATGCCACTCACAGTGCTTCTTCACTATATCCAAGGCAAAAGTGAGATGGAGCACTCAGCTTTAGATGCCTTTTCCCTCCAATACTGAGACACTGACCTGCAAATAAAAGCGGCTAAACTTCAACCCTTGATACTTTGTCCACATTAATGCCATGTGCAATTTTGTTGTCTCTGCATCTCCATTTTGTGTGAGAAGCCAAAAATAATTGGAAGGTCTGACAACTAAAATATACTTTTAACTCCAGAGATCTTTTATTCTTATAAGAAAACAAGAGGAAAGAAGACAGGAGAAAACAACATTGGGAATGGAGAAGTAGAGAGGAAATCTTCGTAGAAACAGCAGGAGGGTAGAAAAAGAGACACATGTACAAGGCATAAAGAAATCAAAATGATGCAATAAGCATCAGAGATCCCAAGTTTATTAATACCCCTTTTTTATATAAATGCAGAGATGGCCCCAAGCTTCCTCTGGGCAATAAGGCCATACTGTATATCATGCCATTGATTTGAAAAGAATGAAAAAAAAAAAAAAAAGGAAAGAAAACACTAACAGAAACAAAAGCTTCCCTTGCATCCACTACATATTTAAAGTAGTTATTTATGTGACAATTAGAACTCACCAATAGTTGATAGGAGCACATTTAGTTTTCAAATTTGCAATGTATTTAAACATGCAAAGATTATAGCACTAACAAATTTTAAAATTACTAGAAGAAGAAAGAAAAAACATAATGGGACTACTGAAGAACATAATACACTCCTAACAAAGCCCAACATTTCAGACAAAAACAATTCTAGAGAAAATCATAGCCTAATGAGTTTGGGTATATAGTTGAGAGTTATTGGGCAACAACATTTTATATTGAGATGGTCTTGGTCCCTCCGTCTCAGAGGGACCAAGACATCTGTCTCTGTACTTTGGCAGATTGAAAGGATGCAGAATATCACCAGTGGTCTATGAGATCCTAATAATAATTCATTTGAGAAAATTTCACAAGGAGTAGAAAATTTCTTTTGCATTCTTTATAGTTTTTAAGAGACTTATCAAGGTAATTAATATTATGGAGTAGGCAAGAGACAGTCAAACACTCACCTGATTTCATGCAAATAATTCACGTGTTAGTCACAAAAGTACTATTCACTTTGACTTACATTCTCTTGGTAATAATAAGTTAATGAATAGTTTGTATTAGTATACATGTATATTTCTACAATATTTTATGCAAAATACTCTACAATTTGTCTTTTTCATGAATTCAAATAATTATCCTCTTTATGTTAAAAAAATGTGACTTCACAGTCCTTTCTCATCTACACTTATTGACATACTCCTCACTGTCCAGGGAAGAAATTATCTCCATTAAAAGATGGTGGTTCGTTTAGCAACTTCCATATAAAATTACTTTATGATGGTAGGTTGCTGTTCTCAGTATTGGAGTTGATTAAACAGGTAAGAGTAATTTAATCTGACTGTCCCTTTATTCCTATCCTGGGCAGAGAATGAAGAACTGTAGATAATACACCTCTCTGTTCACCTTCCAGTCCACATATCTGTAAACACTGGCCTTAATCTAATTCCAAGTTGCAGATAACAAATATATTTTAGCAATGATATAAGCTAATGGACATCAAAGAACTGAGGTTGGTCTGAGACTGTGTGCAGAAACATTCTGTTTATAATCTGAAAGATCAAAGCATACATTTGATATGCTTTGGTTCATAGCAGTGGTTCCTCTTTTAAAAAGTACCCTCTCCACACATGAAAAGAAGCTTTCAATTTTTAAATTAAAACAAGCTCTCTCCCTCCATTTAAAAATTCTTGACAGGTTTTCCTTTTGAAGGTGGGGGGGGGGTAGGAATCATGGGAACAAAGAATCTGACAGTAATGGTCCTTGGAATTCAAATCTGCCCTTTCTCAAAAGAAAACTTAACAGAAGGTGGTGTCCTGGCCTGTCCATGGGAAAATTCAACCACCGCATTTAAACTACTGTCAGAGGGATGGCTGAAAAAGAAATGCATCCGCCATTTCTTAGGCTCTCGTGGGTTTGAATACGTGCAGTTAGGCCTTCCTCATCTACTCCCTGCTCAATAGCAAAGATTGAATCGTCTGTATATACAGTTTCTTGTCCATGCCAAGTAACACTTGCCATAAACTGGGGGGCGGGAGGGGTTGGGGAGTGGGGAGGATGGAATGGCTATGGAAAATAGCAGAGCAATTCTAAGTGTAGAGAAATTTGGGAAGGTCTCCATTCAAACTTAGTCATTTAAAGTTTAATATTAATCTCAATGTAAGATCATTATTTATGTGATCGTTTGTATATTTACAGTGGAAATTTTCTTAAAATACATCAGTTGAGGTATTTCATAGTAATCTCACAATAGTTGATATCTGAGGTGTGGTACAATTTTTAGACATGGTGCTGGTATACAGCTGCGATTTAATAAACATATGCTCATCTCAGTTTCATACACACTTACGACTCACTGGGGATAAATGTGATAAATCTGTCTTTTATTAAACTACAAGTTATACTGTGATAGAGATATTTTTATTTCTTTATTGGGTAGGCAATGCCCTCCCGGTGGAAATCTCTGCATATTTAATCACTGTGGGCTAGATTTGCATTATTGGATATGTAAATTCCTCCCTCCATTCAAAGTTGAGGAATAACATGACTTCTTGATGGAACTTGGGGCTCTCGCTACATCTGCCCACTATTCCCCGAGTCAAACAAGGCAAAGGAAATGAAAACGTTACCTGGTCATTGAATGCTCTTTCCAGTGACTGCTGGCAAGGTAAGGCATGTGCAGTCCTGCCGGAGGTGTGCACTGAAAGCTTACAACCATTCATTTAATTCAAGTAATTAAAAGGTAACACATACGCCTTAAAAAGGGAAAACTCCACTAACCAGCAAAAATCTTTGTCCTCAAAGATATTAATCTGTAGAATATCCAGAGGAAAAAAAAAGACTATGCTTAATATCAGACTCTTATAAGCCAAAGGAATAGACGTTCCTAACAAGGGTCATTAGACTGTACACATATATTTCAAAAATTAATTGATATAGCTAGAGAACACAGAAGCGCCTTTGATTTGGTTCAGCTCCATCAAACACTCGAGTTTATGTAGTTATACTTTGTAAATTTAAAAATCCATGCTTTACTGTATGTTTACTATAATACACAATAAAAAGAGTACAGAAAGCAGAAATCTAGAAAGAACTATTTTCCTCATGTGTATTTTCTAAGATTCAGGAAGAATCAAGAATATCTATGGATGCATTAAGGCACAGATCGAGCTTTGGGAAGCTATTCTGTGAGTTGCCACTTTGTCTGCATCTGCGCCTCAGAGCTGAAAGGAAACTGGACCATAGTATCAGGCTTATAAGGTCTGTGCTCCTTTGCAGAAAGCATGGAAGAGAAGAGATGGAGTTTGAGAGGAGATGATGCGTACTTGAAAAATTCCACTTAGTGAGAGCTCTGAGAGATTACTTCAGGAGCTATTGTGTTGGAGGTAATTTTTAATGCCTTGTATGATTGTTTATCCATTTAATTTTTCTTAAGTCATGATTCAGTTACCTTTTCTTGCTCTGATTGGAAAGAGCCACTTTTTTGCTACTTTTAAAAGAATATTAACATAGTTAAAGGTAAATCTGAGTTACGAGAAGCTCAGTGTTCGAAAGAGTGTGTATCTCACTACATAAAGCTTCTTGTTTTGTATTTTTGAGACCACCATTTTGTTCCTCAGAGGATGACATCTTGCCACTTGGAAACAACAGCCAGTGGTTCTGGGGAATAGACTCCATCAACTCACATTCGGCATTTTCCAAGGACATAGGGAATTTTCTTTTACTAACTATGACAATGAGAAATTAGAACCATTTTACTTAAATAGCTAATGACTTTGTTATCATTGGAGGAAATTCTTTAATGTGGTCAGCAAAACCTGGAAAAGAGAAACCTAAATATTGATGTAAAGAAAGAAAATAAATTTACTCTTAAAATAATGCTACAACTCAAAATAAAATCACAGTCCTCATATCCTTTCAGGTTCTCTAGTCCACAATCAAATAAAACTCAGTCCATGCATCTTTTCTGACTCATCATTTGGCATGCATATCACAGATTTGAAGGGTTTTGGTTATTTTTGCAGATATATGATTAGGATGTAAAAATTCATCATGTAAATAGTCTTAATGAACAAGAAAACATTATTCAGAAAGTAATTTTATATATCTATATGTATATATATATACATACATATATATGTATATATACATATATATATATATATATATATATCATGGAAAACATATTACTATGCAAAACTGCTTGAATTTAGAAGGATTTAATAGTAACTCTCAAAATGAAAGGAATTACATTTTCTTTTCTATATTTGAGTTAAGGGATAAAAACAGTTAAGTGAAGGAAATAAGACCCACAGTATTTTTTCCAAATTTGGTCATGAAGAGAGCTACTGGAGTCCAAGATCTGGCAAAATATCAATGCTACTTGCCTCATCCAAAAGTCTGTAGAGGCGTTTGCACCTTCTGTTAAAAAATATTTGTAATCTCTTTTTTTCCACTTAGATGTGGAACTTTTTTTGCATTTAGAGGTAGCGGTAAGTCTTCAGCTGTACAGATTTCAAAATGAATTTTTACAACCCAGATGATGGACTGGTATACTTCAAAAGTGAATTCATTAATTTTATAAACACACTTCTCTTGCTCTCTCTTTTTTTTTTTCTGGACTAGCTTACATCATAATGGAGGAATAACATTTTAAAAATTTTGAATAGGCACTTACTGGAATTACAGTTAATCCTGATACAATCTAGATGGGGAAGAATAGATGAAAAATGAAAATTTATCCTTCAAGGTAATAGCTGCAGACATCCAATAAAATCACAGTCCACCCTTCCGGGGACAGACACATGCAAATATGGCCACTCCATATCATTTATTCTTTACATACTTCTAGGACCCAGATTCATTGTTATAAAACTTCACCATTGGAAATAACAAGAAAAGGTTTTAAAAAAATGGCCAATTCAAACAAAGCTACATGGTGACAAATCTAAGTGAAATAAAGAATTAACTGTCAAAGATGCTTGGCTTAGACTGGCTGCAACTTTCTCCCCATCTGTGAAAGAACATATCCTTGTTTTCAGCATAATTCAAAAGTGCTCCGTCACAATGGGGTACAGTGCAAGCTCAGCTAGGCTCAGACATCTTGGACCTCCAAAATTTAATATCCCACAAAGGCCAACTGAATCCTTTAGAATTGTGGTGATCAATGGAAAGCAAGTGGAAATGATTCTCATCTCACCCTAATGTTTTTGTTTCTTTGTTTATTTTGGCTTGGGCCAAAAGGGAACAGCCTGATGTTGGCTAGATTCCAGGCCTTGTATTAATTGGAAGAGGAAAGAAACACTGGATGTTGCCTTTAGAAACTCTAATAGCTAAGGAGTAGTGTCATTCTTCCGAGCATACAGCCTATCCTCTCTTAGGAACTAACAATGTTACCTCTATGTCATAAGCGTCATGGTTAACACTGCTATTGATTTTCCTTTCCTTATACTTGCTTCTTATATAAAAGCGGATTCTCTAAGAACAGAATGTCTGATCTGAATAACACAACCTGTAATTGCAAGGGTAATCTTTAAAGGACTATGTGGGATGTTTTATATTTATTTTGTGTATAGATAAATATTTTGTTGGTTTTGATTGTTGTATTTAATGCCTTTGGGGACTGTGAAAAATGTAAACCTAGATTCTGTTTCCATATAGCTGAGTTTGTCATGTGTCGTCAACCGCATCAGAAAAGTGGTTGCAAACAGCCAAGGACCAGCACCTACACAACTCTTTCCACAGAATGCTTTGCTGTTGGAAAATTTCCATGAGTGTTTCCACTTAGGCGGGTAGCCCCTTTATTGCAATTAGGCGATTTATTTTGATTGGCTTGTAGTAACCCATCATTGTCACTAGAGGGGACTCTAACAGAACAGTAAATGAAAGTGCTATGTAGTCTTTAAAAACACCCTGAGTTTAACTTAACTAATATCAACTGAACGTAATTGTATGCAATAAACTATTTGTGAAACAACTTTTATGAAATTTTATGAGCTACCATTCTGCCCAGCAGTGTGAAAATGTGTTCATATTTTACTACTCTTCACATTTTCCTATTCCTTTTGTAAATCTATATAGTTTCAAATTTTTTCCTCTATTTATTCATTTTGTGTGTTTGTGTGTGTGTGTGTGTGTGTGTGTGTGTGTGTGTATGTGTGTGTAGCACTTCCAGGAAATACAGTAAAACCTCATTAATTTTTACTCCTCTTGGAGTTAATGATAATATTCAAACTTATCGGGCAGAATATTTATAATTCTTCATTCCGTATGAAGAGAGATCGTCTGAGAAAAATTAAACAAACATAAAGTTGTGAACAGCCAAGTTCAGGAAGAAAACTGATTTCAAGTACTTTACTATACACTGATGACACAACTTGCATGAAACCATGTGCTAATTACGGATAACTCTTATCCACCCATTAAAATCTACCTAGTAAGACCTTTCCTTAAGAGGATTTTCCCAGCTATTATCATGGTTTTGAATGCAATTGAAAACAAAACTGCTTAATTTTTTTTTATTTATTTACTCTACAATTCGGACTTTTTCCTAATTCAGCCTGGCCTTCCCCATCTTTCATCTAGCATGTTGAGGTTTTACTGTAGTGACTCTTTCTTAATTCTATAATTAAGCAGGAAAGCATTATGTTTCTGTAGAAGAGCCTGTGTTTTTAGTGTTCTCATGGCTGTTTGCCGAGGGCCGCAGACTTTGGGCATTGAAGGGTTGTGGAATTGCTGTTTGATAGCAAAATATCACCACACAATATCCAAACAAAAAAAGATGGGGTACCACAAAGGCCACTATTCAAAGGAGAAGCCCAAAGAGTAGAAGAGAAGCCACTGTCGCTCTAGATCACAAAGTAAAAATTTGGTATTTGGTGCATATGTTATCCAAGCAAATAGATGAAAGGATATCATCTATAACCAATCAGAATGCCAGGGAATAGAACAATAGGAGATTCAGTCGGAGGCATCTTGGAGCCTAATAATTTATACTTTCAATTAACCTGATTGATACGTACGGCTTCCCTTTTAAGAATCCTCTGTGGTAGGAGAAATCACAAAACAGTAAATTATGTTAAACAAAAGAGAAACAATGAAAAGATGCCCCAAAACCTAAATTAATTTCAAGGATGGAAATGAGACCATTAAGTGTTTTAATTTTCCATGGCAAACAGGCTACTTGATAAATGTTTGCAGGCAAAACTGAACAAAACGTGAAAAGTGTTAGTTCAGTGGGGGAAGGCGAGTGGTTACCTAGATTGACCGTCAGTTTCACACGCCCTGCGTCCAGCTCCAGGCGCAGGGTGTCTGCTGAGTCTCTAGAGGTGGTTGCCATGAGAATACCATAGGCACGCTGGGATCGGAACCGTAAGGACACGTCCTCGGCTTCTGTGTGCATCACCACAGGGAGCTGGATCTTCATAAACATACTCCCATCATAGCTCAGAACCGTTGCCTCTACAGATGGGAAATGAATACAAAAGTTCTTGGTCAGTTCAGTGCATTGACACTGTGAAAAAGAAAAGCATGACCCATGTAAGTCTCCCAGATGGAACACAAGACTACAAGCTCAGCTCATCTTCTTGAGAAACGAGCAAGGTTTTTTAAGCTGGAAAGAGAAGTCACAGCAGGGAGAACCCCCTCTGTGAAGTATCAGCTGAAGTCTGGAAGAATATGTGGCTGCATTTCCCTTTTGGTTCCCATAGCGCCTTCTACCTCTAGCATTAATCATGTTGGGTTATCAGTGTTTAGGTGTGATTCTCTCTGCTCAAGAGCAGAGATCGATTCTTTTGTGTAGCCACAGCATGAGCCTGGTTGGAAGCACTAGCAACTATTTAATGCATGTTTATGTGTGGCTAGTCCACACACCAGCTCTTTATAATGAGCCTTGGCCCTGGATCCTTCATCGGCAAAATGAGAGGAGCTCATCTGCTACAGGTGGATCGTTAGGGTCTTCGCTTGTCCTAAAAGCCCATGATTCTAAGAGAAGTTACCTAGCACTTAAAACCATCTGTGAGTACAACCCTGGTATCCTGAAAATATTAAGCTATAGCCAAAATGTCAATCAGTATGTACCTTGGTAATATTGAGTAAGGATGGGGGTGGGACTGAAAAACTTGTGTGTGTGTGTGTGTGTGTGTGTGTGTGTGCGCGCGCGCACACGCGCTACTAAAGTGGATTGCTTTAATAGGGAAGTTGGCTAATACTGTATTAAACACATTAAAAAAAAGTGAATAGCAAAAACTGTTGATCACAAACTGAGTGCTTTAAGAAATCATCAGGAACCCTTCATGTTAAACACCATATGGTAGTACAATATTGCAAAACAAGTATGAGTCATTTTGCTTGCTCATTGTTTCTAATAACTCAGAATACCATTTAATAAAAAAAAAACACTACCTGGGTTTAAAATAAACTAGGAGATTCTCATTATCTTGTCTATGTACATGACACAGCAATTTATTGATGCAACTGTGCTTATTATTAAGACTACATTTCTGGAGTTGTGGTTTTGCAAGTTTATTTTTCAAAATGTCAGGGAAGTCAAATATTCCTTCTAATATACTTTACTCATTTGTTGTCATCATCAAGAGACTGAATGCACATCCAGGACTGATAAGCACTGAATCCCAAGGTCTCCCCTTGGCACGCTTCTCTTCTCCATCCACCTCTTGACTTAAGGGATCTCTCTCAACTCCCGTGCTCACTCACCCTAAGGTATTTGTTAATGGCCCTGACTTCTCTCTTGAGCTCCATTATCCATCCATTGCCTATGTGACATCTCCAAATTGAATATGACAGGCATCTTACTAAACTCTTAATTCCACCCGCCCCCCCCACTCCCCAAAAATGAACAAACTCATTGTGCTCATTCTCCAACGTTCTCTATCTCAGCAAATTATCTCAAAAAATAATGCAACTCCATTGCTCAGACCTTCAGCTTTCTGACTTTTCTATCTTACCGTCTCCACCATGTCCAATCTAAATGCAAGTCTGCAAGTCTTGAGGGCACTAATTCCAGTCCATTTCCTGAATTGATTGCTTCCTACCATTATCCCTAAAGTACCTCAGACTGTGCTCCAGTCTCTCACCTACACCACTACAATGGATCCTACTTCTACTCTTGTTCTGTATATACAGATGCCAGGCTAAACTTTTAAAGAAGTCAATCCAAATACATCACTTCATTGCTTAAACAATCACTCCCCCCCTCTTCCCCCCCCCCCACCAATAGATTCCCACTGCACTGAGAATAAAATTTATACTCCTATTTTTTCAACCTATAAGGTTTGATGTGATCTGGCCCCAGTTTCCAGCATTCCACCCTCCTTCCTTGTTTAGTAAACTTCAACCATACTGATTCCATCACTCATTTGTGGATCTGTACTCTGTCCTAAAGGCCCAGGTCTATATGGCTGGCTCATTCAGCATTCAGGTCTCTGGCCAAATGTTACCTCAGAGAGGCTTGCTGCAAGCACAACTTTAATCCCCCCTCCAGTTCTAGTTACCATTTAATTTGTTTCAATTACCATTTCTTGTTTGTTTATATAGCATTAGCTGTCTTTGCCCTTTAGGATCTTGATAAGTGTCCAGAGGACAGGAGGTGGCTTTCCTGGTCGTTGTTCTACCAACAGCAGAGGGCGCTAAAAAGTGTTAGGCACACAGTAGTCTCAACAAACATGTACTGAATTAAAGATTGCTCTTCATACGGAAGATCTATGGAATAACTTACTTCAAATGTGGATGTCACGCTTATATATATACTCACTAAAGAAGTTGAACATTCTGCCTGTAAATGGAATCTAATTTTGGTAATGCATGTGAACACAATATTCACCAATGTGTACTTGGAAGGTCATGTATAATTGTGCTACAAAAGGTAGATTAGGAAAGGGGTCTGTTTACCAAAATGAGGGTCCCATGGCTAGGCACTGACCTAAGCATTGAGGAAAAAAAATGTAATCCTCTTCAATTGTTGTGGTTCTACATCATACCACATATTTTTCCAATTAGATAAGAAGCTTCCCAAATGGAAGTGATATCACGAAAGACAGAGTTCAATGCAAAAAAAAATAAAAAAAAAAATCTAGTACCAGTTGTTAAAAAAATCATTAAAACATGATTTTAAAGTTGTGGTGAACTCTAAGAAAAACAAAACAAAAAGAAACAAAATGTGTTTCTAGTATAATCTTAAAAGAAATTTGATCTTTACTATCTCTTTTCCTCAACTATAGCTGATCATTGTCCGTATCTATAAAACAATCCCTGAATAAATGTTTAAAAGTCATTATCAACTGTTCAGTTACTGTGGTTTCATACAGATAAAAAGACTAAAACATTTTTAGTTTCCTCCTATTTATTTAGTCTGTAAATTTGGTCTCTATTTTTCAATAATCATATTTTTAAAAATAATCTCATATTCTTCTATGAAATGTAGCTTAACTTGATTAAAAACTAAGTAGAGGGAGCATCCTTTTAGAAATACAGAGGACTGATAATGGATCATATATATATATATATATATATATATATATATATATATACACACACAGTATGAAACACAACCCAAAGTAGAAAAATAATTAGGATTATTGGTCTTTAACAGTTTCCAAAAAAGCTGCAGGAATGAAGTAACATAGTAAAATAATAAAACTCGCGTGCCCCTGAGTACCATTTTAAACAATTCTCAACGTGAAAATAACTTGTTGATAAATGACAAATGAATGCCTAAATGATTCCTCATAATTAGAGTTAATGTTTAATTAGACAAGAAATGGAAAACATGCAAGGTTGTAGTCTAGAGCTGCCAAATAAATGGTACACGGCCTTCTGGCATTTGAAGGCTATGCTATTTGGCAGCATCCTTTAACATTAGTCAACTTATTTTATCACTTAGAATACAAGAGTCCTTTAAAAGGCTAATTTTGACCCAATATTTCTCAGTGGGGGAGAAAAAGTTTCAACTTGGTCTCCTGTATCTCCTTCTCCCTTGTCCTTAAGTTTGATAGATTTGCTTTCCTATGTTATTATTCCTTCTTGCAGTCTAAAGTGTGCACCTGTGCTCAGTTTTGCTGAAAGGCAGTCACATATTGTGATCAACGATGAAAATCAGACAGGGAGCCAAATTATATTGGTCTGACATCTGTCCCTCCATCTGTTAGAGTTTTAACAAACAAGTATAAAGTAGACCTCTGGTTATACCATATACATATAACCAAGAATAATTTGTCTATGAGCAGGTCTCTATAAATTCTCAAGTTTTATTAAAAATAAAGCAGGAGAAAAGGTGCTGCTTTTAATTTATATTCAATTGAATATTATTTTTTATATTACTCTTCCTTATAGGATCAATATACATAAAACAAAATACTATTTTCCTAAGTCAGCAAATACTCTGTTCTTTCTTATACACTCCTTTGCTTGCTTAATGCAGAATGCCATTGCAACATTATTCCCCATGTTGCATTGCTCATGAACTTGAGCATGCTTTTTAATTGTTTTGGAAAGTTATCTTTATAGATGATCAATTCTTGCTCAATAATCATAAAATAGAAACTTTCTAAGTGCCCTTCGTTTTTAATTTCAAGAGTTGTTGGTCAACTCGTAGGTGATCAACAACCTTCTACGATTAGAGCATCTCTGGAAAAGAACCACAGTGAAAGCCCTTTCTTGTGAATCGGAAACCCTGAGGGTTGGGCGTGATCTTATGTTGACTAAACTAGGGCATAGCTGGGGACTGGACAGAGCCAAATTTGGTGGTATTGAGCATGACAAGCATCCTGCATCACCCTGATCTCAAGAGATGCCCTAATGCAGGCAAGAAAATTAATTCTGAAATGCAAAAACATCTCACAATATGCTGGGTAGTCCAGCAACAAAAACCACCCAAAAACGTCCGTTTTCTCACACAACCAATCTGGAGACAAAGGAATCTATAGAAATTTCCAGCCGCCTGTCAGATAAAAATGTATGCAGAATCCCAGTGATGAAGTTTGCTATTAAATTATCATTTGCAAATGTGCATATGCTTGCTACCCTTCTTTCTAATTATGGCAATATATAAAGATCCGCTCATTCTGGCTCAGAAGGCTCTACACATTCTATTTTTATTTCTGCCATATGCAGTAGCGGAACACTGCCACAGGGTGGTACACCGTGCATATTGAACTGCAGGCTTTTGTGATTTGTGTGACAGTTCAGTTATATCCGTTTCTGGCTTCTCCTAAGCAGGAGGCATCAGAATGTCTGACAGCTCTCTGAGTGACTAAAACGAAAGCAAAATCTTAAATCATACAGGTCTGCTAATCTCACATTATGCCTAAGTGCAATACATCTTGTGAGCTTTGTCCTCTGAGAGTGTTGTTGGCCCCTTTTGGAAAGTCCTAAAAACCAAACTATACAAACAAGTAAACTAATGATCAGAAGGGAACATGAGAAGAGAAAATATACAGAGACAATACATCTTGCAAATGAAAACTATGCAGAAATAGCTAACCTCTCATGACAATTCACAGGAATTAAAATTAGATCTATGAGAATGAATGAATCTATGTGATGAAAATACTTACCCATCTTTGACCTATCCAATTGTATGACACAGAACAGTGATAATATTTTGATAGGTAATTTAAGATTATTATTAGGTTATGAAGTTATTCTTATTAATTTTATATTGATTAATTTTAATAATAGAGCTGGGTAAGTTGATGAGTCAGTCTCCTCCTTAAGGTCAAGAACTAAAGTCACATTTCAACTTTGGAGTCTAGAAAATCACCACTTCTTCTCTAGCAGGTATTAGATTAAATGAATTAAACTATTTCAGAAATGAAGGGGGGGAAAAAAAAAGCTAAATATGCATGGCTTAAAAAATAGATGCCAGTTACTTTCAGGCATCTGCATAGAGCAATGTTATCTAGAGCCTGAGAGGACAATGGGCAAACTCATCGATATTTTTTTCATATTGATTTTTTGTGCCATTGTTGAAAATGAGTGGCAATGGGTGTAGAGAGCAAAGCATTTATCTGAAACTCTTAGGTCGATGGAAGGACATGCGTAGATCTGCTTGCTCTATGTCTTCCTTTAGTCTGGTCTGAAGAGGAACTGTGGCAGCTATCACCCTTCACTCTTCCTTTAACCCTCATTCTTCTTTTAGTGGGAGAGGAAAAGAAAAAAAAATGTAGCTTTGCCTCCTACCAGAGAAGGAAATGGAGGTACCTGCTCAGAGCTTCAACAGACACATGAAGCCGTGCTGTCAAACAGGGAAATGAATGTTCTGTGATCAGTTAGGTCTGAGATGAAGGTTAGTGCCTTAGAAATTAGGGTGCACTTCTGAAAATGTTGGTGTAACCTGGATGATTTAAAGTCAGCTTACTTTTCAAATCCCACACTTGGGCAAGATGACTGCAGGGCAATGAGCAGGCTAAACTATGTCTCATGCAACAGTGTCAGGGAAGTTGCAGTTTACAACTTAGCTTGCTTCAAATGCTATTTTTTGGCATAGATATTAGCATATTAGGATGCCATAAATATATCTAATTCATGTCTTCTTTACTTTCTAGTGTCCTGATATTTAAAAACTGGGCAAAAGAGAAAGCAGCTATTGTGTAGTATCCATGTCAGGCCCTTGCCCTACAGAGGACCCAAATGCTTATTCCTACAGTATACTTAAAAAGCTGTGTCTTCCCAGAATCAGGTCCCTTGACAATCACTAAGACTCATCAGTAACACATCAGGTGTGGTGGCTAGGCATTCAGCAAGGTGGCTTCAGCAGAGCACAGGTTGTGTTTGCATGGTCAGTTTCAAATGGGGTGGGGGGAGGGTTAACATTTAATATACTTTTCATCTCAGGGGAGTCGGCTGCTTGGCGTTCGGAATCCTACCTCTCTCGCAGGACCTGCCAAGATGGCCTGTTCCAGAACAATCACAGACATATCTGTTCCACCCATCCCTGCACATGCCATTGTTTTTGCAAGGGTTGCTAAGGCACGGTTTTGCTGTTTCCCTTGAGCAGGAGGGCTTGACTCCAGCAGTACTTTGAACTTCAGCCATTTGCCGGATATCTTTGCTCTGGCCATCGATGAACAAATCTCTGATGCAGCCCACGTAGCCGTAGTTGAGCAAGGCAGTCCACACCTCGGTGGGGAAGACGAGGCCGGCTTTATTCTCTGGCAAGCCCCCCAGGTACAACTCATCGTCCAGGTCCAGAATCTCACTCTCACCAGGAGCAGTGTAGGGTGTGCGCAGCGTGTTGACAGAAATGGTACCTGTTGGAAAGACAAGGGAACATGCAGGTCTTTACAGAGTACAACATGTTTTAAATATCACCTCTCTTTCATCTGCCTAAGGGTGATTTGCCCTCCTTGAGGGCAAACTTTTTTTGTTATGTTTTGTTGTTTTTTTTATTTCTATTTCTAGTGTCTTGTACTTCTTGGTGGAATGAACAGAAACGTGTGGAATTAAGTGACTTTAGAAATAAGGCAAATTATCACTAAAAGGATTGTGCAGGCACACCTGATTTTATTGCACCTCACAGATGTTGCTTTTTTTTTTTTTTTTACAAATTCAAGGCAAGACCCTCCGCCAGCAAAAAGGCTGTGACTCGTACGGCCGTGGTCTGGAACTGAACCCACAATATCTCCGAGGTATGCCTGTATTGACTTTGTGAATAAAAGCCAAAGTGTACAGCTAACAAAGAGTGTTTGTCAGCCTCTAACAGTTCAGCCAAGAAAGGAAGAAAGAAAAAAAAGAAGAAGGAAGGAAGGAAAGAGAAATTGGCATTCTACATCACTCTCTAACAGTCAAGAAAGAAAGACAGATGGGAGAAACTGGGCTTTCTATATTACTCTCTGGATTGAAGTCAGGCTCTCTCTGGTTAGTATTCATTTTAAAAGCTGGTATGAGTCTGAAAACTATGGAAAGGTTGTGTGCTCCCATCTTTAACTGACTCGATTGCTTTTATTGAACACGATAGTTTGAAGATTATGTCGGAACCTGACTGTATCACTCTTAGCCATATAAATCTATCTATTAACCATTAAGATCTCGGTTTACTCACACCAAAAACAGGCACAGTAATATCACCTACCTCATAATGTTACTCTGAATGTTGAATACAATAATACTAGGAAAGTCTAATTTATAATAAGTACTGCATCAATGTTGTGTATCATAATTAATTACAAGAACCAAATCAAATTGGCTGTTTACTTTTTTAAACCAAAATAGCTACTTATCTAAGGTGACAAGTTTTTTTCCTCCTCACTTCAAATATAAGAGTAAAATAATTCTATTAGTTTATAAATATACAAGAACTATTGCCCTAAGCATAAGACTAAGAGTAGACATTCACATGGGATTGAGAATCACAGGAAAAAAATTTTTGGAAAATCTATTAAAAGAAGAAAAAATGAAAGACAGAAGGCAGTTTTTAATCAAAACTTAAATCTTATACCACCAGGTTACTCAAAATTTCACCAATATTTCACTTGTAGAAAGGTTTTGTAAAAACGCAACTATGATACCTGAAAAACACACCACACTGACACATTGCCAGGTTATCCCAGATTTATATTTTAGGTCTAGACCATAAAACAGAAAAGAAGAGTCTAAAGAGCGAAAGTGGATGAGAAAATGTCTGATGCTGTGCGATCCGCTGACACAGAGGCACAGGAATTTGCGGGGAACAGACAGATAAGAGGGGGCTGAAGACAGAAGATGGGTACAGAGGTAAGGACAGGCGGGGAGAGTGTAGTATGGATACAGGTTGGGTAGGAAGATGCATTGTAGTTGCTTCCCAGAATACCTAAGGTGTGACCCAAGTGAACATATGCCTGTGATGAATGTGGAAGGTGCACCTAACTAAGGACAACAGGGTAGCCGGTCTTTGTACTATACCCAGGAGTGCCCCAAATCCTGGGAGACGGGGACTTCCTCATATATGTACAGTGTAACAGGATCTGTCTTTGTGAGGGAGGGGCTGTGCTGGCGGCCAAGTCACTACGAGGACATTTGTCTCTCTAGACTTCCAGAGAAAGAAATGGAAAAAGCTCCTAGGGCACAAACTCTCAAAGGCATTGCTACTTTGGCCTTCCAAAGAGGGGTGCAGAACAGGGATTTCAGAAGGAGGCAGCAAGAAGGAGAGACGGCAAAGTACTCATTGTTACTGTGCACATTGGTCCAAGTATCCAGGAGAAAACTCATTTAGGGACATGCAGGCCCCATAAAATCCTACCTAGAAAAATATTTTTAAAAAAATTTGAGGAAATGAAATATATTTTGAATTTTGAGAGAGAATGGTGACACTTTTCTCTTCCAAATAGAACTTCATTACATGCATTTATAACTATCCAAACTGCCCTAAGAAGTGAGTTAACAGATGATCCCAACCCTCTACAGCAGCTAATGTAAGTTACAAAATGATGAAAAAGAATGAGTGTTAATGACAAAAGGAAAGGCATACATTAAAAAATACATACTATATGTGGAAAGCAAAGGGCGGTATGCAGCGAACACAGTGACTTATGTTTATGAGATAAAAGGGAGAGGTGCGCCACCCTGTTTTCTAATTAGTTCAAGGCTTACTCGACATGAATATATAATATGAGGAGAGAATTGTTAAAAGACAGAGCAAGTGAACAATAACAAAGTTTTACAAGAGTGGGAGCATATTTTTAAAAACATGTAACTTTTTCCATATGTCTTTTTTTATTCACGGAACAAGCTAGATGCAGCTCAGGGGAAGGGAAGAACCACTTGGAAAAATGGTATTGTCTTTATTCTTGATGTTCTAAGTCTGACACTAAGGGGAAGCTTGGAGGATTCCTGAGACGAGGGAATTCAGTGGCTTGCGTGACACGGCTCTGTCATCTCCACATAGTTCCAGCACTCAGGACATGATGTAGTTTCCATATTCAGTGC